AATTTTAACTTAATTTCCAAGCCAGTCAATATTACCCCATCAGGGCTGCCATTAGGTAGTCACATTTCCCTCATTATGGGGCGGCGCCCCCCATTTGCAAACTATGACACTTTCCTCAAGTTTGTCATTTGCATATGCAACTAGAAGAGTTCTACTACAATGCACCAAAACCTGGAGTTATTTGGAGATATTTTACCAAAAAATATAATTGATTTTACCACCCGGTCTAAGTTACCCCAGGAGCTGGGGTAACAAAGACCATCACTTTTTTTGAGATTACATAAAGACTATGAGAGGCAGGAGCCAGCAATTTATGGTGAGTGAAGCTAGAGTATAGACCTGTATTTTGCATGTTTCAATTCAAGTTTAATTTAGCTAGTAAAAAAATGGCATTTTTAAAAAAGAAAGTGGTCTAAGTTACCCCATTTTACGGTACTATATATATAGTATATATATACTTTAGTCAAATAAACTAATTTAGGTCTCTAATTACTAGTTTTCATGATTGTATCTGAAATTGTTAGGCGAAAATATCCTGCCTGCCGAATTTCAGATCTCTAGAACAATCAGAAGTGGGCTAATTTTCGTTGTCAATGTTAACAAACAAACGTGAAGCTAAGCTAAGAAAAACGTGTTAAAAAGCTCTGGTTTGCTACTATTGTTGAGACTGGGAGCCATGGAATTTTGTTAATAAGTATGGAAATTTCAATGCTGACTGCATCTGTATTGGGCAGAATTTTTTTAAAATTTCAGGCATATTATATGATTTCATGGGTACTGGGTAATTTTTAAAAATATTGCATTTAAAAATGCTCTGTTTGTCCATGGAAGAAATTTCATAAATGACACAAGAATCAGTAAACTTGTCCTGGTTGTCCACAAACACAAGCATTTTTGTATAAGTATTATTTTTGAAAATTTTGAGTTTACAGCCTAATCAAACATTTTTTGATAACCAAAAGATTATAATGAATTTTTGTCCTGCAGAAATCTTGCAGCTCTGAAATTGGTGGGTAGTTCTACTTGCAGGCTAATGCTATCTGGAATATTAGGTAAAATGTTACTAAAATGGTAGATTAAAACTTTCATGGGTAGTTAACTAAAATTGCGGTTGAAAATAAGCCGTTTTGATCTGGAAAGATTGTGAAAGGCCTATAGGAATGGGTGAAGTTTATCAAATTCATGATAAAAATTAAATTCCACAATTTTTCATTTTGTTAGTTCATCAATTTCCGATTATGGCTTGCTGCTGAGAAACTCCAACTGAAAAATTTAGCCGAAACCACCCTTGAATGAGACAAAAATGCCTGAGTTGCAGAAAATTTGCCTTCTGTCAACTTCTTCAATAAAAAAAATTAAAAAATAGCCCGTTTTTTGTAAAAAAAAATCTGGAATTCTCTACTATTCAAGCATTGGCTTAGGCTTTTTTGCTATTTTCAGAGCTGCTAGGCTTGTGCTAAATGAATTATTGTCTTCTTAATTGTCAACAAAAGCTCATGATAAGGCCACAAGATTCAAACTTTATTGATAATGTGACTTTGGAGTGACAAGATTTTAGCAATGAGTAGCTATTATCCAATCCTGTTTAGCAGCAAAATGAAATTCAAATGGTGAACTGCTGATATGTATATCATCACCAGCCTCTTAATATAATAAAGAATTGTTTTTGTTCCCTTCTGCTTTCAGAAGTAAGTGAATATAAGTGTTGATGATAGCTGCTACGTTGTGAAAAGCAATGCCTGAGCTGTGCCAGCAAGAGGCCCTGGAGAGCCAGTATGAGCTCCACCAAACCATTGGCTCAGGTGGCTTTGCTAAAGTTAAGGCAGCCACGCACCTCCTCACTGGCCAGAAAGTTGCTATCAAGATTATGGACAAAAAGCAATTGGGAGTAAGTATTTAACACATTGACTACGATTGCTTCATCTTGTACTATTATTTCATTTTTTGTACTGTTTTTAAACAGGGTTGCCAGACGGTTATTTTTTCTGGGAAAATTCCGTGATTTAGTTTTTCTCAATTGCGTTGGCCGGCTAAAATTTATGATAGGGGTACTTCCTAATTAAATTTTAAATACTGCAAAAAGAAAATAGGTGGAATTTTTATAGCAGAACCTAGAAATAAACTGGCATATATTGAGTTATTTGCCTTTTTTTGGCCTTTTTTATTTCCCGGATTTGGCCAATTTTAGGCAACCTGAATTGTGTACCACTACATCCTGGAGAAATACATTTCGTGGTACTCATATGTACCACTTTGGAGTCGACGTGTTGAATGGTATCACATAATTGATTTTTTTACAGCTGGAGAATACCTTCCTTGTTTTTGTAAATACAATCTAGGGGCTTCTCAGAGTGACTTATCTAATTGGAAACATGGTAATTTTTTAATAGTCATACCTGGGACAAATTTCTGAATTTTATCATGAATTACTTCCTGTTGGATTTGAATGATTTGACAAGATTTGTTAATGTTATCTCATTTTATTATACCAAGAAATATATAATATTCCAGCCTCTCCTCAATTTGTTCTGAGTAGTGATCTTATATGATAGCCAAAATAAGTTTATTTGCATATGAATCCTGTATTTAGGTTCCTAGAGGAGGTGGTAATACACTTGTTTTGCAGGATGACCTGCCCCGCATCTACCAAGAAATTGAAGCCATGAAGCTGCTGAGCCATCAACACATCTGCCGACTCTACCAAGTGCTGGAAACATCCTCTAGAATATACATGGTCCTGGAGTACTGCCCTGGTGGTGAACTTTTTGACTACATTGGTAAGAGTTATAACAGTTGTTATGCAAGATTTTTTATTAGTCTTTTAAGTCACATTCAATTGAAATAATCATGCAGGTCTCCAGAGTTTAAGGTTGAGTGATTGTTGGAAGAATTCCGATGAAACAAGAAAGGGTTGGGGCTTTTGTTCTAAATGAAGTAATTTACACAATACTGGTAAATATTTTCTCCAGTCCTATGCTTTATATACTTTTTGTGTTCAAATATAACAGTGTGCCTACTATACTAATCAAGATGGCTCATAAAATAATATTTTTTTACGAATTAGTGTACAGTAACATAACTAACATTCAAAACAAGTGTATAATTTTTTAAAAGCAATTGAATAATAGATTATTGATTAAATAAATATAAATATTTAAATAAATTTATTTCCAGTTTGCATTAAAAAATGTAGAAATACGAATAAAATGTAGAAATGAATGCTGGCATTGAATTACCTACATAATCAGAACATTCTTATTGATAGTTTTTGTTCCGACCTATAGTTTTATTATTTCTTTTTATTATTATTTTACTTATTATTTTATTATTTATTTTATATTGATAGTTTTTGCTGTGTTCATGTACCTATATAATTACTATATAAATAATTGAGCATGGTAATCTTGCTTCATGCTTGTTACTTTTTGTCAGGTCAGTTAGACAAATAAATATTTTATTCATCTATGTATGTTATTTGTGCCACTGTCCTGCCTATTTATTCTATTCTTATAGACCTCTCTGGCCCATTAGATGATGAGAGTTTCAGCAGTGAATTTTCCTGTATAAAAGTCTGTAAACATATGTATTTAAAGAACACTTATATGTATATTAATGTTTAAAGTAAGCTCAAATAGTTGATGTACTTTAAAATTAATTTATAGTTCACAAGATCTTATTGAATGAATTTTATACTCCTTGGCTCTTTGGTTCATGCTCAAATGTATGCTGAAATTTTTAAGTATTTCTTATCATCTTTCTGCATCATTTATACGCAATTTTTTTATTTGTAAAGAAGAATCTTAATTTTGTAAGCTGGGTTTTATTTATTGAATTATTGGCATATTTTAGATGGAAAAAACTTGGATGAACTTGCTTAAGAAGTCAAAAATGTAACTCGGTACTCACTGCAGTGAGTGACAGAGCGCATTTTCTCATTGACAAAAACGTGAAGTCACGGACGGATGGACATGATGAGCACAATACTGCACCTTTTTTTCATGAATGAGAAAACGTGCTAAAAAGTGTTACACAGTAAAGTTTAATAAACATAATACAGTAAAATCTAAAAGATGAAATGCAGATAAATCTAAAAAAATTTGATCCACCAGTGAGAAAGAAATTTATGCACATGAAAGCCATGCTCATAAATATGCTGCTATTCTGCTGCAGCATTTATGTATTGTGTTCTTTACCATGCAGTGGAGCGAGACAGACTGGAGGAAGAGGAGGCCCGAGTGTTCTTTCACCAGATTGTGTCAGCCGTGGCTTACATCCATAAAATGGGCTATGCTCACCGAGACCTCAAGCCTGTGAGTGAAACTCTAGAAATAAGATCAATCAGATTATGAATTGCTAACTGAATTGTGATGAATTCTAAGTTCATTGTAGGAAAGCTGTCACAATCATTAAATGAATTCACCAATCCCTCCAGCTCTATGTGTCATCGGGACTCATTTTTCCCAGAATGTGAATCAATTTCTTTCTTGATCCTGCTAATAATAATTTCTGATTATACATTGTCATTATAACTTCATGATTTGAATGAAATTGATGGTTAAACCTTTGTCTAAGCTAACATTCATATTTAAGCCATCTTGCATATTAAATCCTTTTTGTGAGCATATTGCTCTGTTAGAATTAGACCTGAACAACAGCAGCTAGGTCATAAAAGTTGCAATCTTCATGCAAGATTTTGAAGTGGCGTTGCTTTAATAATTGGTGATTTTTCCCTTGTTGAAAACAGATGTCATTTCGTCACTTCTATCATTTTATTTCTTCAATCTTGCAAGAATATTTTTATAAAGTGCCTGATTTTGGGTCGTTTTGCAACAGATGAAAATCAGCAAGAATCCATCAATGGGTCATACTGCAGTCAGTGTGTGACTAGCTGAAACGGGATGTTGTTGCTGAATTTCACTGCAATCATAATATAAAAATTAGAGGTGTTCAAATTTATGCTGATGTTGGGATGTTTAATTGATGTAAAAAGCAGCCATTTATAAAGTACACGTAACAGACTATTTCTTGTCTGTGATTGGTGGGATTAGCCCGTAAGGCCATTAGCAAACGACTGATGGCATTACAAACTTGTTATTAGTTTTGATATTAAGCCCCTAATCTAATTTACAGGAGAACCTGTTGCTGGATGATGACCAGTGCCTGAAGCTCATTGACTTTGGTTTGTGTGCCAACCCTGACGGTGGCCTCGCACAACAGCTTGCCACCTGCTGCGGGTCTCCTGCCTACGCTGCTCCAGAGCTGGTCTCTGGCAGGCATTACTTAGGTACTTCTTCAGTGTACTAATCCTGTGCACTTCTTTTGGGTACTTCTTCAATGTACTAATCCCGTGCACCTCTCTTGGTTACTTCTCTAGTGCACTTTTAGTGCACTTCTACAGTATGTGCATTCTAGTGCATTTGTAGCACACTTTTACTGGATGTGCATTCTAGTGCACTTTTATTGGGTACTTCTCTAGTGCACCTCTCCAGTGCACTTTTCCAGGGTCCCTTCCTAGTGCTCTCTCTTGCACTTGTACTACGTGGATAGATCATGTTTATTATATATGCCAAGTCAATTATTTTGTGTCTTCAGCTGCATTCAAAAAAGTTTTTTTTTCAAAAGTAATTAGTATATTCCGCTACATCTATTATTCTGACAAGAAACTTACTTAGATTTTTCGGGCAGTTTATCCAACCATCAAACATTCTCTCCATTCACTACTTGTCAAATTTACACGAGCTGCATTGGTAAAAGTCAGTGAAAAATTCACTTGTAAGGGCAAGCTGCATTAAGTTCACATCCATTATAAACTTAGAGATCATGTTATATATGTTGCAGATATTACCTGTCCTGTTCAAGAAATTTTAACTTAACATATGTCAAATCTATGGCTGTGCACTTGGAAGCAAAGTGAAGTGGTAATTTCTGAAGTCAAATAACTTTTGGTACTTTGATGGCAACTGTAATCCACTAACTTGAAGCAATATTCGGTATCTTTGCTATCTGTATGATTGAATACATGTACTGTTGTGCTTTTGTGTGTACTATAAATTGTTTCTGTTCAGGATCAGAAACCGACATATGGAGTCTGGGTGTGCTGCTGTATGCGCTGCTCTGTGGCTTCCTGCCATTTGATGATGAGAATCTCGGCACTCTGTACCGCAAAATTCAGGCAAGTGTGTTGCTGTTCTCTTACGCCGTGTCATTTCTCAGGCAGCCTTCCTTGATTGGTAGGCAGTTTGTGATTGGTAGGTTTAGCTTGAAAGCCATCAGAGATTGACTGGCGGACTTATGAACTCGTAACTATTTTTGAATGGCCCCTGAACCCCCCTCTGCTAACCATATATTACCAGATAGCGGACCTCCGTTAGAGGTTGGTTATATTCCTTTGTGTTGTGTGTTCCTAGTTAAATTGATAACATTGCTACCAATTTGCCTTTAAAACTGTCCCTATTCATCCTGAAACAAACTGATCAGGCATTTGTGGGTTGAAGTTTTGCTAGAAACAATCTTTGCTGTGTTACAGTTTAGTTTGACCTATTCAAGTTGCATTGTTTCTGTAGCAAATTGGTAACGGCTCCCTGAGGAGATGATTTAGCCGTCGGTTTGAGCTTTGGGAAGCTCAGTTCATTGCTCGCTGTCACTGGTAAGCGATGTTTGGTAACCATTGAGGGTAGTGCTCTCAGTGTGGCTGCGATTGGTGTCCCCAAAGACACTTTGGGTACCTGTAACCTGTGGCATATCCAGGTTGCCAGGTGTTGATTATTTTATCCCCCTGCAGTTGGGCCAATATGAGGAACCTGATTGGCTAAGCAGTGGCTCACGGAGCATACTGCGGGCCATGCTTCAAGTGGACCCTCGCCGGCGCATCACGGTGCACCAGCTGCAGGCCCACCCCTGGCTCTCAGCTGGCACACCCCTGCATATCAAGCCAGCTGTTGGACGGGTGAGGCATATTCTTGTGAATCAAGTGAAACATTCTGGTGTCACTAGATGTTATTTCTAGTTGTATTTATTCACATGTTTCATTGTCTGATAGTGTAGAGGTAGCAGAAATTTATGTTTGTGATATTTATTGCATGTCTGTTGATTACCATTTGTGTTGAAACAGTATATCCAACTAACATGCATTTCTAGATTAGCCAGTGGCTAATATAAATTTGGAAAAAGAATTAAAGATTGAATTCCTTGGTAGGTCAAATTTGTTATTGATAAACTTAATAAGAACACAGCGGCCATGTGCTTAATTAAGTCGTATGGTGCAGACATCTTACAAGATCATGTTCATATCAGTACTGAAATGTCATCTAATTGACTGTCTCGGTTCGAAACTAAAAATTTATTAATGCTCCTCTTATCCTTGCAGGACCCTCAGGTGAGCTGTTGTCTGCGTTCCTTGGTCCCTTGCTAGTGACTTCTTATGAGAGGTACATTTCTGAGGCTACCATGGCTCCAGGGTAACATTTGCCTCGATGGTTATCTAGGAAGCTCATTTTTAAACAAGATTTGTGTCGATTGTACTCTTACTACTGAGGGAGTAGTTTAGGGATGCACCAATTGTTGAGTGAAGAGTTGCTGCCTCGCCCCCCCCCCCCACTGATTAAGGGGTGTTGTCTCACACCCTCTGTTAGTGTGTTAGTGAGGAGTGCTACTTCACTCTCCTCTCCCCGGGTGAGGTTCTCATTACTCACGCCCCTGGTGCATGCAGAGGGAGGGCGTGGATGAAGCCATCATCACGACGATGGCGGTGTCTGGAGGACGGTCGCGCGTTGCGGTGCGGGAGGCGGTGGAGCGCTGGGCATACGACCACACCACCGCCACCTACCTCATCCTGCACCACAGGAAGCACTGCACTCCTGCTCAGGTAACTCCTGCACCACAGGAAGCACTGCACTCCTGCTCAGGTAACTCCTGCACCACAGGAAGAACGTGCTCTTATTGGACGAAGACTTGTCTGTTTTGTGATATTTGTGGCAGATATCAAAATATGTTTTATCTGGAAGAGGTGACCTAATTATGCAGGTATATATCAATTAAAATAAAATATTTGTTAACATAAAATGTTTACACAATAGTTACTGGGCTTCTCTGATAATGCAACTGATAAGGAGAGGATGCTGGACATGCATCATTTTTTTCGATATTTGAGTGTTGTTTTCATTTATGCTCCTTGCGAGGGTTTTGTTGTTTGTCTTGGGGATGGGCAGTAGGCTAAGAAACTGGTGCGGCGTAGCCTTGGCTGTGAAATTAATGAAAGTGGGCCACAGATGATGAAGTCAGATGAACTGATGTAAATTTGTCACTAGTAGGAATTTATGCAAATAGAACATGGAAACCAGAATTGTTGCATGCTCGTTATGGAAAGGCAATTGATGCAAACGGGAATTGGTAAGTAATTGATGTGTATTGGCCATGGGTGCTCAGCAGATGTGCATAGCTGTAACTCAAATGATGACGAAAAAAGAAGAATATTGTGTGCAGGGTGGGGCCTTCGGTGCCGCGCGCTGCCTGCTTCCCAGCATAGGGAGTGGGGGAGAGAGGGGAGTGGATGTTGGGGACTTGACTCCTCTCGGCGCCTCCCCCCGCGGACTGCATACTTCCCTGGAGGGGGGACTACAAGACGCTCAGCTGCTCACCATCGCCAGTCCTCATAACCGTGAGTGCCACTCCACTCGTGCGACCTAACGAATCCCAAACTTTCTTTTTTTTGTGATGCAAGTTCTAATTTTTTCTGCAAGTTCTAGTCCTCTGTCCTTTCATGCAAGTTCTAGTCCTTCCATGCAAGTTCTAGTCCTAGTTCTAGTCCTCTGTCCTTTCATGCAAGTTCTAGTCCTTACATGCAAATTCTAGTCCTTTCATGCAAGTTCTAGTCCTTTGTCCTTTCATGCGAGTTCTAGTCGTTTCATCCGAGTTCCAGAACTTTCATGTGAGTTTATGAGTCCACTGCTGGGAATTTATATACATCCACTCCTGGTAATGTCTGTCTCCTCTTTAGTTAACCAGTTTTCTCCAATTAGTGTTGTCCTTCTCTATGCGTGTGGGTCTAGACCACTTGCGCTTTAATAACTCCTGATATACTCCCATCCTGCGAAATGCATAGTTGGAATATTTATTTTAAATCATACAGACTCTTGACCATTCAAATCTGTTTCCAATATCACCTGCATATGAGGTCACCATACACAGGATTGTATATCAGGTTATAGTACTTACCTCACCTCGTGTTTAGGCGTGAGCAACAGCAGCAGCGCATCAGCGTCATCTGACGAAGGTGTCGGTGATTCCCACGTCATAGACACAGACGTTAGCAATGCGGCCACCACCAGCAGCAGTAGCAGCAACAGCAGCGGCTACTCCAGCAGTGCAAACAGTAACCGTTTGAGCAGCGATAATTCTTCAGATAGCAACAGTAATTCTTCAAGCAGCAAGAATAATTATACTAACACTAATTATTCAGGCAGCAATTGTAGTAATTCAGGCTATTTGAGCAGCAATAATGCGACGTTTATTAGTAGTCCTCGCCGTAAGCGTCCTGTGGCCGACATTATGGACGCCGCGCGTGGGCTGGAAGACGACAAAGAGAACAAGTTCCTCCTGCCCACCGCGCCTACACCAGCTGCCAAGACACGGAGGAAAGGAACGCCTACCACTCCTGGTATGTTGACTCTCAGTCTGGGAGACATTAATGGTTCTCAGTGTTGTTCGCATCGTAAGACCTGGGAACTAGGCTTCTTGTCAGTACACACATAAAGGTTTTGCTGAAAATTCTTACTTCCTATTTTTATTTTTAAATGTGACATTGAAATCACTTCAGTGAGTTATGTTTATTTCTTTATCTGAAAATTGAGAGTCTCGTTAAAAACTCACGTCCCGACATTCATATTTGTCTGTGTTTTTTGTATGGGATGTACGCGAAGGGCAAAGGATCTTGCCATATGTTGCGCTACACAATGTGAATGATGGGCTTGTAAAAATGTGTAAGATTATGTGTAGAAAATCCATTTTAGCACGGGATGTATAACTTATAAGAAGAGGATATCTCATTTGGGAAATAACACTTTGATTTTTTCAAGTTTACTCCAGATAAACTAAGGTGAATTCATCTTAGTTTATCTGGAATAAATTAAAAAAATCGTAGTGTTGGTTCACATATGAAATAACACTTGATAAATAATAACTACATGTCAGTGTATTTGTTCCAAAACTTCGTAACTTGTTACACTATTTATTTTACATGCCACTACTAGCAAATATCCTTCCTAACATTTATCTACGAGACTACATTAAAGCTCGTACGTATATATCCACGCGTCATGAAAAAATTACTACTGGAGATAATTTTCCTTAAGTTTTTACTTATAGGTTCAGTTCACTGACCTTTATGGCTGCATTCCTCCACAGCTGCGGCTCGCATCTCACCTGCGCGCTCTGTTGACAGCGGCTTGAACGACTACGCCACGCCCACCAAGCATGGGTTGGTGACTGGCTATAAAGCGTATTTGTATTGATGTGATTCACTGCCTATTCCAAATTCAATTCATTCGAAAACTATCCAATCTTATTGGTAATTAATACTAATGAATAATGTGCTATAAATTGCTTCCTTATAGTTGAAAGTTTTGTGGTTTTGTTGAACTTGCCTAGTGCCAGTAACCGCGTGTGTATCTTGCCTGTGTGGTCTTCATTAGACGACTTCTGGTGCATCAATATTAGTGTGCAGTGTACGTTAAGATAATGGTGGTGTTATGTAGAGAGGTAGTAATGTTGATATACTGGATGTGTGATGTACTACAGAGATGGTGATGTGTCAGAAAAAAGTTGTGTTAGGAAAAAGTAGTAAGTGCTAGGAAAAACTAGTAAGTTCATGTAGAAGTAATTGCTAGCATCATGTGTGATGTTGAACATAAGATCTAATGGTAATGGGGGGCTTCACAGATGGAACTATGCCAGGACCCCAGAGCGCAACACCCCCCGCGCTCGCACTACTGCGTCCGGTGGCGTCTTTGGCAGCATTGAGAAGAGCTTGGATAAGATGAAGACGTTGCTCACTCCCCGCCGCCGGCTGCCCACGCATAACAGCGGTCCTATACTCGTACACAGCAAGGTTTGTGTCGGCTTGATGGCTTGCTTGCGTGTAATGATAGGCTTCATTGACCGATGTTTTTCGCGATCTTCTTTGAACAAACATCGGTCAATGAAGGTCTTCCTTGAACAATTCTTCGTGATCTTCGAAGTCTGTAAATTCACATGTACTGTATCAATCATTTTAATCTACTGTTTGTAACTTTTATTATTGATCTTTACGAATAGCATTGACGGCGAATAATGCATCTTTAGACAAAAGGTTGATAAAAACATATGCAAAGACAATGTAGGTGTCAAATGGTTTACGAGGGAGTGGAATGCTTGTCTCTTCCTTTAAGGCTCACTTGGGTTAGACCAAAGATTACTGATATTAGGAACTTATATACTTGTTCTTCTCGCATACCGTCGAAGTCTGAAATTAAACTGTAATGTTTTTGATATATTTGTGTGTGCAGAATCTGTACAACGTGAGCACGACAGGCAGTAATGATCCTGACTTAGTGCTTAGCGACCTCAGGCGCGCTCTGCACAACCAAGGCATCCACTGCACCCAGAAAGGGTGAGTAAACTGCGCAACAAACACATTCACTGTACGTAGAGAGCGTGAGTTTAGCCCTCATATGATCTCAGTTCTTATATGCATACTCCTCCATTATTCGTTGGTACCCACCACACACAACCATCTCCAACACCCCTCTTCCTCCCTAACAACAGGTCCACACCTCGCAGTCCTCACCCTCATCCCCCCTCAGGTATACACCTCACAGTCCTCACCCTCATCCCCCCTCAGGTACACACCTCGCAGTCCTCACCCTCATCCCCCCTCAGGTACACACCTCGCAGTCCTCACCCTCATCCCCCTCAGGTACACACCTCGCAGTCCTCACCCTCATCCCCCCTCAGGTATACACCTCGCAGCCCTCACCCTCGTCACCCCTCAGGTACACACCACGCACTACCCTCACCCTTATCCCTCCCCCACAGGTACACCCTTTGCACTACCCTCACCCTTATCCCTCCCCCACAGGTACACCCTATGCACTACCCTCACCCTTATCCCTCCCCCACAGGTACACCCTACGCACTACCCTCACCCTCATTCCTCCCCCACAGGTACACCCTGCGCGGCAAGGTGGAGGACAAGGTTGGAGGAGCACGCCTGAGCTTCGAGCTGGAGGTGGTGCTGGTGGCTCGCCTGAACCTCGTGGGCGTGAGGAGGAAGCGTCTCAAGGGCGACGCTTGGATATACAAACGCGTTTGTGAGGAGGTCCTCCGGCTCACAAACACAGCCGCTCCTGCGCATGGTTTGTCTCTTGCATTTCGTCTTTTAACTTGATTACTTGAGGCATTTGAGTCTAAAGTAGTTTCTGAAATTTCAAGATTTATGCTAAAGTTGTGCAGTTACAGCTTGTGAATTGATTAGGTTTTAACTTTTAAATTTCATACCTAGGCACGTTCAAACATTTCTTCTATCAAACTTTTCTTCTTGATGACCGATGTTTGTGATATACGTAGCTTGTGAGGTGCCCGGCTTTCTTATGATTTCATGTTTAACTTGTAAACATGATGTGTGTGCACTGTGCAGGTTGCAGCATGCAGCAACAGCCCTCAACATCTGAAGGCAAGACAGACTCCTTCACCCACAGACCAGTGACATTCACGCTGTCTAGTTCGACTCACTAGTTCGGTAGCAGCTCTATCACGGCTCATCGCGCTCAACTTGGTTTTCGTCTCAACATTTATTTTAACGATTCTCCCCGTGCATTTAATTTCTTTTAGTCGCTAATGCTGCATATTTTTTCAGTCCTACAGAATTCTAGTTGCTTTTTATGTAGAAATTTTTCAGCAAGAATTTTTTGAAAGTTATTTTTTTCTGAATATCTATTTAGACGGTTGATTTAATAGCAAATTTTGTGCGCAGTTACTTTTTAAATAACATTTCAGTCTTTCTTTCTTGTGTATTTGCCATTTGGCCAAATCAGATTTCGTTACAATGCGCCGCCTGTCTTCTCTGAAGGCATTTCAGCTCGTCACAATTCTCGAAGTTTCACTTTCAGTGTGTGATGCCCCTGTAAGAAGCATGGCCTTTTAAATATGTGATGCTCTGTAATAAGCATGGCCTTTTTAATGTGTGATGATCTGTATGAAGTGAGGATTTTTTAGTGAATGATGCCCTGTACGGAGTGAGTATTTCATAGTCTAACTCATTCATACAACTACATTTCTAAAATATGTGTCGTGCGTAGATTATTCGCCTCTCAAAAGATAAAAAAAATCAATTGTGATTTGCATCTGCAGTTTTTTTCCTGTTTTTTGCTTTCATTGAAGTGGTTGTTTGTCTGTTTCTTTGTAATTTTTCAAATCGGTCTTGTAACAAGACAGATGAGACAGAATGATAGATACTAACACGGCCTTAATATTAGCTAGACCTATGATGTATAGATTTTGCGGACCAAACATAAAATTTACACGTTACCACGTGTACATTTGGCTCCTCTGACAGGCGTGATGTTCAAACGCTGCACATGTGAATACTCTACACCTTACACAAACACGAAAGCCAAGCCACAACCTGCATCATGTGTAGATAGAAGAACCTTGGGCTCATTAGACCTTGCTTGACATATGCGCACGACAAAACAAAATTACTCTTCGTAATTAAAGGATATATTCATTGTTTTCTATATTAAATCTTTGCTAGTCTTTACTTGAGAGCTCACCCAATGTGAATGTTTTTTAATGACTTGTAATGTTTGAAGGTGCGAAGCGAAGCTTGTTCCTAATGCTCACTGTTGGCCGCAAGTCGAATTGACATAACGCCATCTTTAGTTAAAGTAAGGTCTTCAATTTGTCGCGCTTCATTTCCTTAGACTTCAATTGTTCATTTGTGTGTTATTAAGTGTTTGAATAGAATAGATGATAGGTGCACTTTTGCACATTATATAACTGTATTTAAATTTTATCACATTTCTTAGAAATGTAGGCAGCTAAGCTGTGCTATTTTGCTCCTAACTCAGTATAAGCACTTTTTTTCATTAGATTTTGAAGTATAACTCAAGCATGTAGTGGGCATATTTCTATCGGGATTTGAGTTTAAAAGAAAGCTTAAAGTTTTGCTCTTGAAAATTTTTATTCAAACGACAAACAGTAGAAGTTCTAGTGTTCATACTTGACGAAGGCTCGCTAGTTCACGAATGTTTTGTATTCAACATTAAGCAGTATTTTTCTCGCATTTCACATGAGCATTATTTTCATTACCTCAGCCTGGAAATTATAATCGCCACGAACCAAATTCATTCCAATACCGACATTCGCTATGATTTCCGAGCTTACCAATTATTTTCTGAGGTTTGTTTGTAGTTTACTGTTTCAAATTTTAGTCATTTGACGGCGGTTATCGTTTGCATATTGACTATTTATTGTAGTTGAATTTAGCCTGTGTGATTTTTGCAAAAAACACTTTATCTTAAACTCGACTGGGGGCCAAGGATCATCCAAGTGCCAAGTTCATAGCGAATAGATTAATAATTAACTTACTCTAAGCTCAAGTTTATGACGATTTCAGCAGTACAAAGAGATAATTTTCCATGTTTATCAACTCTTGACTGTTGCAATACTGTATGACTCCCAATAAAGGAGTGCCGCTTCGCAAAAAAAACTTCATGTTGATGCAGCTGCTATACCTTAAAACAGTTTTGTAGATTCATTACTTAAAACAATATTCGTTGAGAAGTTGGGTTAACCAAATACCTTTAAAGTATCTTAATTCGCTGCCAATGTTCGCATGGTTTGTGGTGGTCATGGAATCCATTCAACGTTTGTGATAGGTAGGATTGACATAGTGAAGAATCATCATTAGCTTGATGACTTGCCACTTCATAACTTTTTTAAGTACATTATCTGTCGACCTAAAAATAATTGTTCTTTCAAATTAAGCTTATTTGATCACCGGACTTAAGGCGACGTTCTCATACGTTTTATATTACAGTGGATCACACAGTGAGCGATTAATGTGATTGTACCTAAAATTTCGTAATTTTGCGTCGATTGTTCGTAAAATTCAGTCACAAATAACGATTGCCCCTTGAGCATCAACCTGATGATTGGTTGATGGTTGTAGGATTTTGCATTCCATTCACCGCCTTTTTATATCGGGCAACGTATTTGCGGTGCCTGTGGTTCCTATCGTAACCTTACTTGCTACTCTACCTACATTGTAAGCAAACTGCCATGTGTGCCTCATATTTGTGTTATTACTAGCTGTATTTTAATGGTGATATACGTAGCTTGTAAGGTGCCGGCTTTCATATGATTTCATGTTAAACTTGTAGAGCGCCAGCGCGTCTGGTGTAGGCTTAGTTCTTACGCCCACTCTTCGGTAGCGGGTCATTATAATGACATTTATTGCTGTGGTTTAGCTGTGGTAAATATATTATAATCAATACTACGCTCTGTACGGCATGGTTAGGGATGCGCAGAGTGATTCACGCAAACTTCCTGTTTTTTTTCGCGCCCAGCAGTCAGATGATGTAGGAAAAGTGCGGGGAGTATTTCATATGAAGGGCAAGGTAATGACGTTTAGTGTCCCTCCTAGTCTGTTGCCACTATGCATTGGACAAGTGAGCAACGTGCGTTTTTCTCGAAGCTTACTTTTCATATGGCCGTTCCATTATAGCTACCCAACAAGCATTCCATACTCTGTTCTGTATTCATCCTTCAGGTCGGGTTGTTGATCGTAAATCGATTTACCTTGGGGTGAACATATTTAGGGCTAATGGGAGTGTAAATACAAGAAGGTCTGGAGGCCAGCGGACTGCCACAACACCCGAAAACTTCGAGTGAGTTGGATAGGCGTTTCTGCGTTCCACAGCCGAGGGAACATTTTTCTAAAGCGCCACATCTCCTTGAGAGGTGACCTTTGTCTGGCCCGATCCCTCGATTTGGCTCCGTGTGATTTTTTGTGGTGTTATCTTATATCAGTTGTTTACAATGACTGTCCAAGGACCCTACCTCATTTGAAGAACAACATACGCCAAGCCAACATACCCGTCAATATGCTTCAGCGAGTTGAACGAAACTTCTAAAATTGGCTAACATATTGACAAAGGGGGTTGTCATTTGTCCGATTTCGTCTTTAAAACTAAGTGATACAAAAATTTAGGTAGTTTTCCTATAGCATTTATATTGCAGTGATATCTTTACTAGTTATTTTTTCACTGAGCCTTCAAATCAGGAAATTTCTGTGAATCATCGTGCACTTCGTGTCTCATCCCCGGTCAACGTGCTGACGACATTTGAAGCAACAGTGGGCTCATTAGTGTGTCGTAAGTGTTTACCTCGTGTGCCGAGATGATGTACTTGGCACCAAATTCATTACTTAATTAATTTGGTAATTCTTTGTTACCGAATGTTTGATAATGACTGAGTGATGTATAAAACTTCCATTTTTGATTCAAGGTAATGGTATTTTTTTTTTCCTTTGCATTAAGGCAAGCACTTGGACTAACGCGATCGTACTTGGCTAAGAAATTTGCTTGCGGAACGGAATATAATACGAGAGATTTTCGATTTTGAGATTCTATGCGTCATTCTATCCAAATTAACTAGGCCTGCGTGTTCATTAATCGTTATTTTTAGATAAATTGATCTGTTACTTCTATCTGAAGGCCATGTGACGAAACTTTCCCGATTACCCAATGTGAAAACAACTCGAGTAGTAGCATAATCATTATGATTGGGGGGCATCCATTTCTGTCGCTCTGACCGCACATTGTTGAACGTGGTTTCGAAGAAACCACTCACAATCGTCGTCTCAGCGTCATTTGAATGAAGGGTTGGCGTGGCAAACGCGGCTTTGAACAACTTAGAACCGGGAATAACTAGGGGCAAATAGGAATTTCGTGAGAGCGCGTGAAACACGATGGATTGTGAAAATGAAAAGTTATATCAGTTGTGCGACAGTAATCTATCTTATGCTCTTAACCATTCGGCTACGGCCAGTTTCGTTAGCGAATGCGTAGCACGACTGGAGTTGGAGTTGAGTTCTGGCAGTGATCGAGGACGCACGTAGTGTTTGCGGGTCCCAACTTTCTCACTTCTTACTATGCCGGTTTGACTTATCTCGCGAATTCAGAGCCGACATCACTATGTTATGTTATGTTATAAAACCGGTAATGGAAGAGTAGATTTGCTCATGAACTACTTGGCTCGTGAAGGAAAATCTAGCCTAAAATCCTGAAGATGTCGATGAGACGCAAGAAGGTGCTTCACCTTCTTGAGTCCCTTTCATGGTTTATTCAATTTTTTTGTATAAATTAATTATAAAATTAAATAATTAAAAAGTTTCATGGTTTCCTGAGTTGGACGTGTTGTATTGAAATAAAAACTTTTGAAACTTTCTTGTAATGTTAATAATTAAATTATCAATATAAGAAATCCATTTTTTGAGTAGATGCCCAAAATTTGGTCGACTGCATTCATAGTTAACTTAGAGCATTTATAAATTAGAATCGGGGACTATACATTCAATGAAAATCCCGGTATTCATCTCAATAGACATTCAGACATAGACTCTAACGAATACTTTTTACTGCATAAAAGGACGATACGCAGTAATCAAGCCAAAGTATCACTTCACCAAATATCAATCTCCACCAAAGTATCACTTCAATCATTCAAATACCATTAACACGTTGAAAAATGTATTTAGGGCGTTTTTCATAACGGTGGGTCGTACCGCACTTAAAAACGAACTGGAGGTGCCGGGGATCGAACCCGGGGCTTTTCGCATGCGAAGCGAACACTCTACCACTGATTAATGTGTTGATATGGGTCTTTACTGGACCATGGGTATTGGGACGAAGTCAGGCGGGCCGAGACCGGCGGAGTCATATAAAGTTTTGCTGTAACGGTATCCAGTTGTCGAGTCGATTACAGGGAAGATGGTTGTGCCACTGCCAAGGAAGGCTGTCCAGAAGCCGTAGGTACCCAATGTGATGATGTGGTGGTCGCACATTGACAACGCATACATATCCACCAGTGGAGTACCTGTCAACGAGGAGAATGTTATAGTCAAATTGTCTGCTAACATTAGTTCTGCAGTGTTGCACTTCTTGCAGACAAGAGTGTGGGCAGCTGTGTGGCAACATGCGTTATGATGAAGTAACACAACAAAAAGTGTGGAGAGTTTAATTGTGTAGTCAGTGGTAACGTAACGGACAGTGTTATCAAATGGTGGCGCGAGGAGTGATCAAGGTAATCGTGATGTGACCCTATGTCAGCACTAATTCTATATTCAATTTACTTGGCACAAGGAGTGAAGAAACAATGGCACTGATGGGCTGTTAACTTTTGCACTATTTGAAAGGAAGAACATGTGTCGTCTGCCATCCAAGGCAAAGTATAGATTGTTTTTATTTACTCATTAAAATATGGGCTCCACTCACCTTCGGAAAAGAAGACGTTGTTTATTCTTAGTTCATCAATGAGACTGCGTGTAGAGTTAACGTCGTCTGACGCGACCAAGAAGGCGACGTTGACGTGACGTTGGAGGAAGTAATTGATTGCATTCTTCATGTAGCTTCCATAGCAATTCGTGATGTTCCTCACAGAATAAAGCTGAAATACTATAATTTTTGTTCAAATTGTCACAAATATGACTAGCTCAGTGCTTTAATCCATGTCGATATGGGTGTAATAAGTATGGACGTTTTTGGTTTGCCTCAGCAAAATCTATGGTATTACTTTAGATTAAGTGCATCCAAAAAAGGGTGTTTATTTTAATTATATGTTTTTTGAGGTGTAGATTAAGAATCTGAAATCCGTTTTTGGCGGTCGGCATCGGAAATTTTTAATGGAACCTGTTCCTAACTGGACCTAACCTGCGAGGTTTTCGTTGATCGGCTAGGTTTTTTCTATGTTAGGAGTCCGTCCGGCGGCCGGAAAAACCTAGCCAATAGGTTTTTTCTATGTTTGGAGTCCGTTCGGCGGCCGGAAAAACCTAGCCAATCAACGAAAACCTCGCAGGTTAGGTCCAGTTAGGAACAGGTTCATGAAAATTTCCGATGCCGACCGCCAAAAACGGATTTCAGATTCTTAATCTACACCCCAAAAACATATATTTAATAAAACACCTTTTTTTGGATGCACTTAATCTAAAGTATTACCAAATCTATTTCCCGACGTCTTGCATTTCAAACACATCCCTATAAATTTAGGGTGACCGTTCCTCACGCTTAGACTGCCGGAGAAGCGACAGCTTCAAGATCACACCGACATATTTAAACAACTTCAACAAAATAAGGAACTTGAAAATGAACAATGACATATTATTGACCAAACACAAATTAATCAATTTTAGGGAAGTATTACTTCGACAGACAAGCCCGTGAAATGTATCACTGGAGGTAGCTAATTTAATATGACTGTAATACAGTAATAATATAACTGCTTCTGTGGTTTAGGTAAGTCTAATTAATTATCGTTGGCTCAGATTCCATCAATAGATTTAAATGCGTTCAACGCCCAACCAATTTTACCCATGTAAATTATTTTCTAGGTAAGTTGATAATTTCCCTCCCTGATTGTGTCACGCACACACACAGTATTTTCCAGCAAAAACACGCGCAGTATTTTCGCTAGAATGTTTTTTATAGCATTTTCTTACATTTTCATCATTTGTGAACTTACATCGAAGAAAGTCCACACACTACCTAGTTACCAATAAATCCTGATGATCATGTCGATGTCGAGCCAGCTCGTAGATTCCTACAATAAAGCTATTTATCATATTCCTTTACAGGATTATTTTCATCTCATTGGACCGCTGTCTAGATTTATTTGGAAAGTCGTCGGCGATTGGCTGATTGTTAGGGTAAGAACGTCTAACAATTTATAGTATTATGGCACTAGACACAAATGGGAGTGTCCCTAAAATGAAGTTGTACACATTCGACCTTCAATTACTTCTTTTCCAAGTGCCCACCTTAGCAAATAAATCTTAAGATACTCTCAAGTTAATACATTCTCGCACTAAATTTGCTATCGAGGCACCCTTTGCAAGCTTATCGTGAGGTACCCACAGATTCCATGTGGTGTGGGTAGTCAGTGAGACGAACGTGGATACCGACGGTGACTAAAAGCCCCGCCCCTTCTACTTCGACCTGCGCAGTGGCTTCTCTCACTCTCCTCAGGCGAGCCTCCGCCTCAACGGAACAAGAAAAATTACTTATTTTTTAATGAAAATGGAAAATCTCGCATTTAAATTATTAATCAATGAATTTCAAACATTTTTACAACACTTCTCTTTAGCTTCACTTCCTGTCTGTTTGTTTGTCTGTCTGTCTGCTACAAATCTTGTAATCAAAATTTAATACACTTCTACTTATCCTATCGATCTGAAATTTTGCACACTTGTGTAAAATTGGAGACAATGCATGAATCAAATGTCAAAATAAAAGATTTTAAAAATTAAATAAAATTTTTTTTCTAATGCATGAATCAAATGTCAAAATAAATTATTTTGAAAATTAATTTTTTTTTTCAAAATTAGAAAAAGTGAAAAAATAATTTTGTCAGCTTCAAATCTTATAACTGATATTTGACACACTTTTTACCTGTCTAATTGATCTGAAATTTTGCACACTTGTGTGAAGTCAGAGGCAATGCATGAATCAATTAACAGGATAAATAATTTTGAAAAAAAAATTATATATTGAAAAAAATTATATTTATTTAAAAAATTGAAAAGGTAATTTTTTAATTTTTGAAAATTAGATGAGAAATTCATTGTACATCTGTAAGATTGGAGATACTGGATTATTTGGAAGTGTTGTCTTTAAAAAGTAATTTTTAATTTTTTTGTTGTCTTTAAAAATTACTTTTTAAAGACAACACTTCCAAAGAATCCAGTATCTCCAATCTTACAGATGTACAATGAATTTCTCATCTAATTTTCAAAAATTAAAAAAATTACCTTTTCAATTTTTTAAAAAAGTATCAATTTTTAAACGTATATTATTATGAGTAAAATGAGTTTCCCCTTAAATTTCGGAGAAACATCATCGTCAACATAGATCCAAAACAGTAGGTACAATATAACGACGTATTGAACCACCACTAACCTAAATTAAAACGTGGATTATGCGTATCGATGCTGACATAGAAAGGGTAATGTTTGCTCTGAAATGTAACCGCAGCAACGCTTATACTTCAATACATCATCGTATGAAAAACTAGCCTATTTAAAAATCAAAAGTCTTTTCTATATTATAACTCAATTACTCTTTGACATCACTCTTAATAAAAACAATACTGGTACTCAAAGTTTCACATAATACACAAAAATAGGCGGCTGCAAACGACCAGCATCTGAAGTCTCTTAGCTAAAATGACTTGAAACGCACCTGCTGTGTAACGTTGTCATCAAATCTGAATTCTTCCCTGAGTTCAGCTCTGAAGGCAGCGAAGATGCAGGTTTCAAATGGAGTTCCTGTGCAAGAAAAGGCATTTATTTCCAGGCATCATTTCATTACATCAGCTTCCAGTGGGCCGGAAGCAGCATGTCTACAAAAATAGTGGGCGCTTGAATTGAGAGAAACCGGTTTGCAAATCTCACAAGTGCATCTGTATGGACATTGATACTTGCATAACCCAGTTGGTTTCGAAGATATGACTAAAACAATTAGAGACGACACCTATCTTTTTAAATAATCACCGAAACTTATGATTGGGTGTAACGTAGAATATCCATCTAAGTGGCCTGTATCATGAAAGCGAGTAGTCTGCAATAGTATTTGCATCATTTGAACAGTTAATCCGCATTCGTTTGAGCATCACGTCAATGGGTTGCATGCAAGCGCGTATCTACCCTAATATAAAATAAAATAATATAGTAATGACATCTTCAATTAGGAAATGTTGCTCCAGCGGCAATCTCTAACCACCCGGCTATCTTGCCGATTTCAACCAGAATTTTATAGCTTGCGGGTATAGCTTAACAACTCGTCAGTCCCTAGCTCGTATAGTGGTGTCAGCTCTGACAAGGCCGTGCTAGCATGTCGACGATTTTTAACCACCCAACAACCTTGTCGATTTCCTAAACCTTGTAATTTCCTAAAAATTTCTCAACTAGTTGTAACTTGTAAGTTTCGAACCCCAACTCGTTGCTCCCATCTAGGGTGGTCTTGATTACTAGGCTATTGAGCTTCTTTACCGCAAAAAGTGCAAGGCTAAGATTCAATTCAGTTATCTTGGGGGCAACGTCGAAATTCTGCCACTGAAATTCTACTGTCTTGATCAAAATATTTGAAAACGTCAGAGGTATAGGAATGTTTACTGAATTAATACAATAACCTCTCGCCGATATGCATTTTATTAAAAATATAGATTTTCTATACCTCATTCGGTTGATTACCAATTTCAAGGACTCACCGGGCGTAATGAAAGGATGTGGTCCCAGTAACCCTGCAGCAGCCAGTTGCACATTGTTGAAGGTAGAACGATGGCTGTCAAAACCCGCCGCAACCCAGTCACCCTCTTTGACTGAAGTTGTGAGAATGAACAGCAGGTGGTTCTACGTGTCAGACTTTTTTTCCTGGATTTTCCTCAGAAAGAAATAGAGCTCTACAGAATATAGCGATAATTATAATTGATGCGAATATACCTATATGACGTAGCGGATTATGCTATTCTACTCACATCGCTCCAAGGACGGAATGGTCAAATGGCTGAAGGCTTCTTCGAGGTGTCTTCGTACTGGTTTGCGGACTACGGTGGCGTTATAAATTTTACGTAATGCGTAAATTGTGGCGTACTCGCCCATTTGGTTGCCCAGTCGTCCTTTTGGGTTCATCACGATTGCTGGCATCGCTAGTCCCAGTTTGTGAACATTGTGTTCCAGACGCACTCGAAAATCCAACACCGTCCTGGGCGATGGGCGGGAGTCCACGCAGGCCTCACATTTGTACTTGGCCTCGAACTCCTGGAAAAGTTACGTGTTGATCGAGTGTTTGCATGAAAATTCATATTCAGATATCTACGAGTACTAACTAAAAATCTATATACGTATGTAATAATGAAAATGTTTATTGGAAAGATTTGAAAAATTGTCTCTAGAGTACGTGGTATCAGCAGCAGTAGTAGTAGAAGTAGTACATAGGATGGCTTGCTAGCGCTTCAACCATCAAGCTATTTGGCACCAGAGGTCAGAAATTTACATCACCAGCTAGGCAGAAGGTCTCAATTATTGAAAGCTACTTAAATCAAAATTCAATCATTGCACAAAAATCACAAGGGGCGGAAGGTCGCAATTGTCCAGCCCGTTGAAGCTGTGTTGAAAGAAGTAGCGTTAGCATCTCAAAGAGACGAAGTGACAAGGAGGGAACTGTGAACAACAACAGAAACGAAGACACTCTTGGACAAATTTACGGCTGGACACGCGGCCAGTCTCACGGCCAATCTCCTAATTCAGTGACCAAGGCAGATGTCCAAAACTAATGAACGCAGCTCAATGAAACTTGGTACACGTATTCAGGTGGACCTAACAGTGATGTTTAGCTCGTGAAATTTTTTCCAATTCACCTTCATTCGTGAATTATACGGCAATTCGCGCCGAAATTTGCAGTGACCAAGTATTTCTTCTAAACTACTGAACAGATTTGAACAAAACTTTGAATATACAAACCTAACCTCCCAACTGTCATGTTTAGCTCGTGTCCATTTTTTTTACTTTTTCCTCGTTTGCGAGTTATACGGCTTTACGTATACGGCTCTTTGTCGATGCAAATTTACAATCGGCCTCAGTAATGCCTGTCGTTTCTCCTATGTCCGTATAACTCGCGAACGAATGCAAAGTCGAAAAAATTGTCATGAGCTAAACATCACCGCTGGGAGGTTAGGTTTGTATATACAAAGTTTCGTTCATATCTGTTCAGTGGTTTAAAAATAATTTCTTGGTCACTGCAAATTTCAGACTGAATTGCTCTATAACTCAGGAGTGAAGGTGAAATAGAAAAAATCGCGAACGAAGGTAAAACCGAAAAAATTGTCACGGGCAAAAGATCATCTGTGGAAGGTTAGGAATATATAATCAAAGTTGCGTTTAAATCTGTTCAGTAGTTTAAAAGGAATTTCTTGGTCACTGCAAATTTCGGCACGAATTGCCGTATAATTCACGAATGAAGGTGAAATGGGAAAATTTTTCAGGAGCTAAACATCACCGTTAGGTCCTCCTGAATACGTGTAAACCAAGTTTCATCGAGCTACGTTCATTAATTTGGGAGATATTCTTCGGTCACTGAATCTGGAGATTGGCCGTAAGACCGGCCGCGTGTCCGGCCGTAAATTTGTCCGAGACGTCTCGAGGGACGTCGGACCGTTGCCGGCCGCCCGCACGAGAGAGACAGAGAAGGGAAAGGTAAGGAATCCTGTCTACATGATAACACCACAACTGAGACCTGCAGGCAGATACTGCGAGCTCAGCGGTGAAACGCTCAGGAACAATAACCCTAGAAATACGAAATCCCATAGGGCTACTAACGAGCCCTATGGGATTATTATTAATTAATACGCCCCTGGTTATTATTGGCGTTTGGATTCTAGTAAATTTAATTACATTTAATTAAGTTACTTCAGTTTTTACTAGTGTAATCCATAATGGGTGAGTTATCCCCTAAAATGAACTGCCCCAACCACTTTTTTCGGTGCTTGGCCGATAGTTTCTCGCGAATTAACAGCCCATGGTTGAACTAGTATAAGGTTGACCCATCAGAAGCCCATTTTTGCGGATGTACTTCGTTGTTCGCCTGTGACGTCACGGGCAGTGACGTCACAGGCAGTGACGTCACAGGCGAACGTCACGGGCATTAACCAATCAGTGACGTCACGGGCATTAACCAATCACGTGACGTCACGGGCATTAACCAATCACCGAAATGCGATCAAACCAGTTAACCGATCCGTCATGGGAATGACAGGTTTGTTTACGTTTCTCGATCGGGTGGATAGCCAGAGGTCAGCATAGCCCAAGTCCACAGTGCGATTCATATACCTTCCCGAGCGTGACGCAGCCGGGCATCTTCACGGCTTTTGACACAAAGCGCCCACCACAACAGCGCCGTTCAGTCACAGGCCGGAGCGCATACAGGCCGGAGCACAACTGGCCGGGGCGCAACAGGCCCTACCGCAACAGCTACTCCTAACGTAACCTAACCTAACCTGCGCCGCCTGTTGTGGTAGGGCTTGTTGCGCTGTGGAGTAGTGGCTGTGTTGTGCAAAGCGGATTTACTGTTAGCCGGAGTTACCCACAGCTCATTGGTCTGAGGCTATGTGTAGATATTGCATGTTGATGGTTGGCGTTAGGCCCAGGGCCTGTTTACGAGTCAATATGGCAGGGTGGCCCAGTGGTTACAGTTCAGAGTACCAAGATTGGCGCAGAGAGGCGCGGGTTCGATCCCAACTCAGTGCGCCAGTTTCTGGTCAGAATCGGCAAGGAGGCCGGGCGGTTAAGCACGGTAGAATTTGAATCAGTGAGTTGTGAGTTCGAGACCTCAACAAGCTGTGGATGTTCTGCGATGTTAAGAATCGGCGACAGGCCTACGGCCTAATAAACGCTGAAACCGCTACTACTACAATTTTGTTACCCACGGCTGCGCTCCCTCTCGATCTACGTGACGTAACAAGAAAGCTGAACTGAAAAACGGAACTTCTCGTGGGTCAACCTTATACTATAATTCAACCATGTAACAGCCTATCTTCTATGTTGTTTTTGCATTTGCCTTCCTATTTTATTCGCATGATGAAAAATCCACAAGCAAGAAGTTAGAATAAAATGAAGGGCATAAAAATGAGAACCAACGCCAGATAGAATTACCAATTGTGCCAAGGCAAATGCGGACGTCGCTCTTCCCAGCGAAGAAAATTCCTTATAAGGTCAATCACATTCATCAACTGTGATTTTTCGCGATACTGAATCTTTAGTAGGTAGAAAAATATGGGTCGCCTGCCGAAGACCACAACTGCCCTGGATGTAATGGACCATCATGATTCCTGCCTTCCGGAACGTAGCCTTCAACACTTCAAGCCGTCCGTATCTAGGCCGTGGGTCGAACCAGCCCTCGGTCGAACGGCCACTTGTCGAAGGACGATAAATTTTGGAACAGAACTATGCTATCTGAAACCTGACCTCAGATGCGGTGAACGTAAAATTACGTAATTTAACGATGCCTGGAAGTCAGATTCGATCCGCGGCCTGGTGGTGCACGGCAGGTGGTGGTCAAGGCCGGAGGAGGACAAAGCCGAGTGGTGCACGGCTGATTGTTGGATATCCGGATAGATCCATGGCGTTCGATTCATGGCTTATTGGTGCACAAAATTGGTGGTGCACGGCTGCGCTCCCGAAATATATTGCTAGAAAATGGTGAAAGGTAAATTCTATTTTCATTTAGGACGCAAAGTAACTTGTAAAATCGATGGTTAGAATAGAACCACAGAAGCTTATCGAGTAAAGGTAATTTTAAGATAAGACGATACCTGCACCCACGATTTGCCTTCCATTGCTGGTATTGTCTTAGCCCGATAACATAACATAGTGATCTTGGCGCTGAAGTGTAAGCCTGATGTGGCCTGTCGCCGATTCTTTTCCTTTTCGTGCCTTGTTCACAGAAGATCTAAAATCGTGTCATTTGGCCGGATCTTTTCATGACTGACGATAGTATGAAGTAGCTACTAGACTTCCACCGGGTTCGATATGGTGCTAGGCATTTCAAATCTGAACATATATTTTTCCATAGCTTTATCTAGTCTGTCCTTGAACGCGTTCATACTTGGAGCGCCAACGATGTCATCGGGGAGGCTGTTCCACATGTCGGTGATTCGAAGAGAGAAGAAATTTTGTCGCGCGGAGAAGTTGCAGCGTAGTTTTTTTAGTTTATAGCCGTGGCCCCTGGTTGTTTCAAGTTCTAGTAATCCTTCGGGGACCTTGTATAAACCATGAGTATACTTGTATACTTCAATGAGGTCCCCACGCAGACGTCGATAACTGAGGCTTGGAAGCTTCATAATCTTCAATCTTCCTTCATAGGGCTTGCCCTTCAAGCCTGGAATTATCCTTGTTGCACGTCTTCGAACATTCTCTAGTAAATTTCTGTCCTTTTCAAATCTCGGTGACCACACAACGTTTCCAAACTCTAGATTCGGGCGCACGAAAGCAACAAACAACTGCTTCATCGCTTCAGCATCTAGGAACTCGTATGAGCGTCTGATTAGTCCAAGAAGTTTGTTGGATGTGTTAGCTTGCGTTTCAACATGCTTAGAAAATTTCAGCTCCTTGTCGACATAAACTCCGAGATCTTTTTCCACACTAGACTTTTCAATCATTACTCTCTCGTTGCAAAATGTTCTATGATGGTACTTTTCTAACCTGATGGTCCTGTCCTAACCTGATGGTCCTGTCCTAACCTGATGGTCCTGTCCTAACATGATGGTACTGTTCTAAACTTATGGTCCTGTGTGTCCTAACCTGATAGTACCCTCCTACCTGATGGTACTGTCATAACCTGATGGTGCAGTCCTAACCTCTTGGAAATGTTCTAACCTGATCGTACTGTCTCAACATGATGGTAATGTCCTAACCTGATCGTACTGTAATAACCTGATGGTAATTTCCTAACCTGGAGTATTTGCAGGAGCGGGGGCAGTTGGTCAGCCGCACCGTGCAGCGTAGATTCTAAGCGCATAACTACGCTGGTGCGGTTGATTCCCGTCAACCGCAGCACCAGCGACTTAAATTGAGCGACGACTGTGACGTCAGTCGAGCAGTTGGAGTTGATGGAGCAATTGGAGCTGCGGCTGTTGACATTCTCAGTGATGCGACTGTATTTTTCGAAGTCGATGTTATAACCTGAAAATTTAGAATTCCTAAATCATAATTACGGAAAACGTTGCTAACACTGGAAAACACTGCTGCACGCCAGTGCATCTGTTAGTCTTAGCAAAGAAACCATGAATTTGCGCAAGGATATGCGAGAAAATTCGAATTTTCGTAAATGATAATTAGTTGAACCTTAGTTTTTAATAATTAACGTATTTTTATATTTTTCCAAATTTGTTTCACGAGTCCTGCCTCTCGAGTCGAACCTCTTTTGATTTCATTTGACCGTAAAATATGATCTCAAATATTTGGCGTAAGTGCATAGGCGTTATGGAATAACTCCTCAGTAAAGTATTTTTTCCTCTTCAAATTAATATCACGAGTCATAAATTAGCAGCAGTCATATTTAATAACAGCTACAAGAAAACTGTGTCCGTACTTACCTGTTAATTTGAACGGCCAGTAAAACAGTCCAAGCAACACCAACACTACAAGTGTTAGCAACTGAACAATGCCAGGACTACGCCCGACGAACATGACGCCTGCTATATTCATTATTTGCATGCAGCTCCGAGCAGGTCTTAATCAATACACGGACGGTTTTGAGCAGACTTTTAATTTGTGTTTGTTGCCAATCATCTGCTTATCAATATCACAACCATGCATCTGCCTATCACCAATCATCGGCTTAACGAATTGCAAATAATAATACTACCATGCATCTATCAATCACCAAGGATATACCATCGAAAATTTATAAGATATTTGCATCAGACTTTGAGTCACTTACACACCAAAATTAACGCTTTTCTCGTTTGTTTATTAATCGTGAAATTAGCAAAATCTCTCTCAACGTCAATAACTTCATAAAATTGTAAATTATTTCTGTAGACTTAGAATTAGATAGTACCCGTTCGTTTGAACGTATCACATTTTACCTAATATCAAAATAATGAACTTGATGACCTCATATGATTGGTTCACTATTAAATTGGCTAGTATAGTACACAAAATTCGTAAAAATTTCTCAGGAAGATCCACTCCAGGTATTGTTCCTTGTCTCTATCACTAGTTAAAACAATTGTAAATTTCTCCATTCGGGGAAATATACATTCTTCATTTCTCACTCGAGAAATTAATTCTTGCGAAATGGTAACAACAATATTTGATAACCGTAATTACGTACTCCCGCCAGTTGGTACCTGGAATTTCGCCCATACGTTGGTTACTAAAATCTCCACTGTAATACTATACAATTGATTTGTAATACCAATACAACCCACCCGGTAGTTGCTGCAACCGGTATTGTATTGTCACAATCCTATATGGTGGTATTTGCTACAAGTGCCGTACTGCCGTGTTACCACGTGCTCGCATGATGGTATCTAGAACCCGTGTCTTAATACCACAAATCGACACGGAGTCGCTATTACACATAAAGTCTCATGACATTACTTCACCGCCGTAAGAAACCATATGTGCACTAGTCAGGCTTCTACTCTAGCACTCACAGCACTATCTACATTCGAGTTGGAATGATCCGAATGAGTCTATGGCTACATTTCGCCTCACTCAGCAGGTGTCTCGGCAAGTGTTAAGATAATAATCACAAAAGATTACTCTCATACAGATCTAATCTATCACCGAGCATTAAGGATACCGCTCAGCCTGAAATTGAATTATTGAGCCGAGCTCAAAAAGCTAATTCATTGTCAACCAAAAATCAGGCTGCGGCGTGTGTAATTTAACTGTTAGAGAGGCAAGGCCCTAGTTTGACTACCGATGGGCCTGCACGACGACCTACGAAAATTCACTTGTTTTGGTAGGCTATGAGAATGAGATGCCACCGACACGCTTGCCATGTACGTTGATTCTTGATTGGAGTTTCGAAGAAGTTTCAGAAACGTGTCGAACATTCAAGTTTTTACTGCAAACCCCAGTATTTTAAATAGTCAAATTGAATTAACTAAGACGATGAAGCTCATGATTTCGGCAAATTAAGAAATATTAACAGGTGTAAATTTTTGTATGAATGATGTTGAACAGTTTGACATTCAAAGAGATTTTTGACCCGAGCGTACTAATACATGCTGCAAGAAGTTCAATTCCTGATGTATGTTGAAAACATACGTAGTTGCTCATTAGTGTTCCATTTTTTATTCCCAATCACCATTTTGACCCCGTGCAATTAAGCGACTTCTTGACGAGTCTTTGCAAATACGAGGTTTTGCTGAGGTCTTTTATTTCGATGCACGCGCATAATCGTATTCATACAGAGAAATGGAAATGCTCTCTTGTGAAAATACAATCTTCATCTCAGTAGTGTAACCGTTTATTTACATTTTACAGAATTCACGCAATTGAGAGTTACGATTTGCTGCGTAAATGAGCTTTTTTCCACTCAGAGCTGTGCATAGAAAAGCTAAGCTTCATACAAAACTTATGTTCGTGAAGGAAATGTTACACGATTCTTGTCAGGTCTGAATATGGGCGTTCAAAAGGTGTCATTTATTAGCGATCATTTCTGACTGCAGAAGGAATTATTTCAGCTGGCAGAACCTGCACGTTTCACAAATCACACCTGTGGTGACTTCGATAGAACCTTCAGTTCTCTCACATAACATAACATAACATAGTGATGTCGGCTCTGAAGTGTAGGCCTGATGTGGCCTGTCGCCGATTCTTTTCCATTTCGTGCCTTGTTCATAGATCTAAACTCGTGTCATTTGACCGGATCTTTTCATGACTGGCGATAGTTTGAAGTTGGACTTCGCTCAGAGAGATCTCTTTGCAGTACTTGCAAACTTCCATCTCTAGCTGGGCTGATTTGGTTTTATTTTTTATTCTAGAGGCCGTAGATGGCTTTCCTCTAGAGGCGGTTGAGGGCTTTTCGACTATCTTTTTTATTTTCTGTCCAGCCATTATTAAATGCACGAACTAGATCTCTTGAACGGAGAAAAATACAGAAAAAGGACAATTCATAAGCTCTTTGTACAATCTCTTGTCTAACTCATCATCGCTCATGCAGTTCATGAACTTCTTGTGCAATCTTTTGCATAATTCTTCAGCGCTCACGCAACTCAGCTTCTTGGACAATCCGATCTCTTGCCTACTTCTTCAGCGCTCAGGCAACTCGTCAACTTTGAGTTAGACAATCTCGTGTCCAATTTTTCAGCGCTCACGCACCTCAACTTTTTTGGACAATCTCTTGCCTAACTTCGGCGTTCACGTAATTCAGCTTCTTGACAATATTTTGCCTATCTCTTCAGCACTCACGTAACTCGTTAACTTCTTGGACAATCTCTTACCTAACTCTTCAGAGCTCACGCAATTCCTGAACTTCTAGACATTTTTGTCATTCAAATGGTTCGCAATCAAAATGTTTTGGACTGTGAAATGAGATAATTGAGATTAAATTCTATTTATATCTAGCTCAGAATAGCTGATTTTTTTTAATGCAGCAAGGAAATAAAGTTCCGAACTGATTTCGTTCAGGATAGCTTCTCTGAGCATTCTCACTTCCACATAAAGTAAAGTAATAAGTCATGTTGGTTTCGTCTACTAGCAGAAAGAGAACTGTTTGAAGAACGGCACAGTGGATTCAGGAGCCAATCCATTGAACGGAACTATTCAGGTCAGATGTCAGGATCAACGTAGCGTTTTCAGTTACTTTTCAAAGATTTCAAGTGAATTTGTCGTGGATTAAAATTTCCAACGGATGTAAATTCAAGTCATTTCGGTGCTGAGCGAACATTCAATTTCCTTAAAAACCAAACTTAACCAACGTCGGAGGTTGAAGGAAAGATAAGTTGCAAAAAGCACTATACACTATATTATGGACTAAATACACAATTGCCTTATAAAATACTTATCAATGCTAAAACGTGATAGAAAAAACGCAGACGAATGGAAAGTGAGGCCGTGTTAGCAACTAGTTGTACTGAGATGCAATCTCGGAGTGGGGCGAGATTGGTGCTGTAGCTGCTACAGCTTTTCTTTTCTGCTCCCCTCCACCACTAAATATTATCTAAACATTTCTTCCAAAGCATCACAAACTTCACCACAGGCTCAAAGCACAAAATTCGCCTTATAAAATCACACTCTAGACATCTCGTCATCCATGAAAATAATTTTTAACTTCCGTTGGACAAATTTAATTTGTATCAAGAAGAGGGCGTAACTTACATAAATTAAATTATTGGGAACTAAGATAATGGAAGCGAGTGCTCCAGGGAAGCATTTGCTTCCCACGGAGCAACGCCTCGTGGCAGTGTCAGTATGACCCTTACAGTCACTCACTCAATCTCGCGTTCACCCTTAAGCAAAAATTATAAGCTGAAAAATTGCGCTCTCACAAGAACAAGTCGACAGGCACGCACCTTCTTAGATTAACAAGCACTCTTTCCCTAAGCTTCGTCAGTTACTTAATTATACTGATTTAGACTGGTTTTTGGGAGCCTTTTTTGCCAATGAGGGACTTGTGGATGTGAGGTATGACACCACCGCCAGCAATGGTGGCCTTGATGAGCGAGTCAAGCTCCTCGTCTCCTCTGATGGCCAACTGCAAGTGCCGCGGCGTGATACGCTTCACCTTCAAGTCCTTCGACGCATTGCCCGCCAGCTCCAAAACCTGTGCCATTTTTACAATATTAAATGTAGGGAAGAACGAGCCTCGAGAACCCTGAATTTAGTAAATAAATGAAATAAATCATGACGGAAATCGTAATGCATATGATTTTGATTACAAAATTTTGGGATCAGCTGTATGGCTTTAATTTCAGATACGTGGATAAAGAGTTGGCTTCTGTTCAGATGCGTTGATAAACAGATCGGTTAGACTTTTCAAGAATGTAGCTTGCCAATCATATTTGCTGCAATTACCGCATTAATAATTTACTTCATTGTACTCAAAAGCCTCTGGAACGTCCAGCGTGAAATGTTTCTCAGTTCCTCAAGTCTTTAAATCTTAGAATGATTCCAGTGTGATAAAAACTGATCATTATATAGACGAGCTAAATTTTTTTAGTTATACATAGTCCAGGTAGCATTTATTTGCAAATCTATCTCCAAAAAATTTGCTTCACTTAAATAGTTAGGAGAGAATGCTATCATTTTTAGTACCGTATTCAAATTAAATTTTTCACAATACAACAGAGAAAATACGGGAGTGGTCATTGATCAATGGCTGACACCGTACAATGATGTTTCTCTGGAAATATTGGTTGATTTAATTATCATACATACTACTCATGCTAAAAAATACTAATAATATTTGAAACTCGATACAAAGATATGAAACAAGTTATAAAACTTTGATGCCACAACATTAGAACATGTCATCATTACCTTGGAAAGATATTTCTGTGATTAAAAAGTTGGAGGACCATCAATTTAGGTCTCTGAGCTGCAACTTCTTAAAACTGTGTTTTTTTTCCTTCAATGCAGAAATGAATCTTATGATACCATTCAACTGAGATACATTTCAAAGGCATGATAACATAACCTCTAACACAACTTGAGAAAATGGGTACCAATGTTTGGCAAAGCATAAAACTACCTTTTAATCACACTTCAGTGAGAAAGACTAAATACTTTGCATGCCAGAAAACAATAAGTAAATTTCACCTCAGCTGTAAGATACTCGAGGATGGCAGCACTGTAGACTGCAGCAGTGGCACCCACGCGGCCATGTGAGGTGGTGCGGTTCTTCAGGTGTCTGTGGATACGACCTACCGGGAACTGCACAGCAACAACCAAGCATTAGGGGCATGTACAAGGAAAATAACAATTCACAGCAAGAATACAGAAGGGAGATGTAAATTTCTTAGTAACTCCAACTCTTTTTCGACTTAAATATTCAGCCTGCTCCTAGATTGAATTTCTCAGGATGCAAGTTAGCACCCAGCACCGCTCTACACATCAAATCTCTCTCTGTACACTATATCACTAAGGAGATGCTTCTTGCATGGTCTGCATCTGCGGCTTTGTGGCTCTGAGGCCGAGTTTAATTATGAATATTTAGATTGAGCGTTGGCTCCGGGGCTAGTATGTACAACAGTAAGATTTGGGGTACAGCTGTATTTTCAATTTCTCTACTCAGATCACATCAAATGAACTCAAAGATGACTTGTGTGAGAATTTCATTATCATCAGAGCCATGACTAGTCCTGCCATATAGGGAACTACAAGAATAGGGAACTACAAGAATAGGGAACTACAAGAATTAGCCCTTATATATATAGAGAACTACAAGAATTAGCCCTTGCATAATTGTTCACAAATGTGTCCAATTGGGTGGTGAGATTTCAAATATTTCGAAAATTCCGCACTCTGGAGCGGCAAGATTTCAGCAATAAGTAGGAAAATTTTAGTACTGCCAGCTAGTATGCAGCATTTGTAGCATGCAGTGCCACAGATGTCCCTGTAGTTGCAGTCATGTCAGACAGCTTTCAACAGTAATGAAACTACAATGTCTCTTTGATAGGATCGGAGAATGCATTATAATAATGCAATTAACTTTCTCTTGAGTAACATTTTTCTGACAACTTTAAAGTTCAAATTACAGGTTTGTAAAGGCCACCATCACTTGAATATTATTTGACCAAAAAATTCAGTCATGACTTGGAGTGCAGACATTTTTCATACCTTGGTTTGTATGATCAAGAACAATCCATCCACATCACTTTCTTGGTCCAAAATAGTCAAGCATATTTATAAATACCTACATAAGCCAACTTCAAGTTTTTTTTTTTGTCCAATTGACAAGTGCCTTCTGTCCAATTATGAAGTTAGGAAATAATCATCTCTTGAAGTAATTCAGCTAAGTTGTAGTGCTGTAAAGAATCTATCGAGCTATAATTATAAAATTCCACCCTACGTCAGGGTTGGAATATTCCTACTTATAACTGAAATCTTGCAGCTCTGAAGTGAAAAATTTTTAAAAAGGGTTTTTCTAAATGATGGACCTAATTTATTGAATTCAGATTTGTTAAATAAGTTCAATATATGACATCTTGATGTCCAAAGCTATTTAAATAGTCACTTCCTGAGCATTTGATAGGATATGCAGGAAATGAAAATCAGGCAGGAGACTTCTGGCCACCAAGATCACCTGATCCCACTCACTGTATATAAATATTTCTTAAGGCATTATGTCAAGGAAGCTGTTTATGTCCTGCCTTTACCAGCAACCCTGGTTGATCTGAAGAACCATATCACTGCTGTGCTAGTTGGGAAAATTCCTACTTTTTTCTGAAATATCACAATTCTAATATATAATTTTAGTAGGTATGAAAGCTTCTGTCTCTAATGTAATGTATTCTTATTCGACTGAAAGAATTGAGGCTCAAAAAATGTGTAATTTCACAAAATTGTTAACTTTTGCAGCTCAGGGCACAGGGTTTGTACCAGTATTTAGGAAAAAAATTTCATGACTTTTCCAGAACTCTCAATGACCATCAATTTTCCAAGACTCATATATGACAGGTTTAGCATGACTGAAAGACTAACTGTGCATATTCCATTGTCTCCTACAGTTGATAAATAGCAAACGTGTAAATAGCTCTTTTAAGGTGGCATGGCTCTAAGGCTCTTGAAAGCTGTTTCCCCCATATTTGACACATTGAAGTCTTTCAAGCACAATGTACATGATATTGCCATACCTTCATGCTTTGGATGGCAAGCAAGCCAGTCACAATAAGCTTTTATTCTTAACCACAAGTCATGAAATTTATGCTTTCCTGACAATTTAACACACATAGCACATAAAAACACTTTCTTTTTAGCGCATTTTCTCAGTTATGGAAAAAAAGCACTATTGCGCTCGCCATGTCGTCAGGTAGCCCGTGACTTCACATTTTTGTTGATGAGAAAATGCGCACTCTGTCACTCACTGCAGTGAGTACCTAGTAATATTTTTTCTGTCATTTGCAAATTCCATGACTTTCCAGGTTTTCCATGACTGGTGCAAACTCTGAGTAGCTACAACCCTCTCTTAATCCTGTATAATGAGTAAACCAAAATTGTATCATGACTATCATCAGTGTCCAGTGATTGCATACTTGTGGTCATGTAAGACTGCATTATAACTGTGTTTATTCCATAACAAAAAAGTAAACAATACATTATCATGTGCTCAATTGCCTCTTAAGTAAAGACAAATGTTGTTGTTGCTGTTTCTACTTTCTAGAGTAAATTAGAGATTTGAGGTAACATCATCAACATGTGCAATGGATTTTGCAGCTCATAAATGGCTTACATGGCCGGGATATGGTATTCACGTAAATAATCACGGCTCAACAACATGGAATCACAGCTAGCAAATCCATAGGTTTTTCTAACATTCAGACATTTGAACTTTTGCTGAATGCTGTGCTGCCTGTGCAGCACAAGGGAACATTTTCAAAATTTATATACATGTAAAATAAACTATAAATCATTCCCTTTCCATTGATGTATAAATGATTCACATGAAATGTATAATGAAATAAATATGAATTCATTAATAGAGACAATCATCATTATCAGTTCACTTTTAATTTCCTCAAGATTTTAATAATTTCTTATGTATGATAATGGTTTTATCCAAGTACTTAGGTACTACTTACTAGTCTACCTACTTCTAGGATTCAAAAATGAACTTGAGGAAGGGCAACAAAATATGTTCTTCAATCTCCATTGCCAGTTGCCACTATCATCATCATGATTAGCTAGCTAGCCTAAGCTAGGTATGCCTAAGAGCAAGTTTAGGATAGGAATTTAGCCTAGTATTATTATAAAGTTGGTAAAAAATAAAAATCACCAAAAATATACAGGTAAATCGTCTACAACACATAGAGAAAGCACAGTTATTATAATAGCGGCTTGCATTGATGTACGGATAGACTAGCTCCGGTGTTCTCAAGTGGAGCTCACATCGATCCGTTGGGCATTGGTAACAAACGGTCGCCATCTTGGATTCAGTTAAAGCCCTATTTTAACAAGTACTTCTAATGCAAATCATATTCTAAGCTCGTATGGCTATCAAAAATGTAATACGAGTAGCAGACAATTGAAAATAGTTTATCCTTTAATCCATCTTACCTGTAGACCAGCTCGTGCAGATCTAGAAACAGCCTTGGCTTTTGCCTTGCCGGAATCTTTGCCTGCCTTGCCGCCAGCCTGGGAAAATACGATAAAAAACAAACTTAAACAACGATTAGAAACTTGAAACTTCGCCAGCGTATGAAAAAAATATATATCTTTCATTTAAGACCAAATTTAAATGTATATCGGTCATATTCTTCAAGAAATCTCATAACTTCTCACCATTTCAATCAGCACTAGTGGTAATCGAACGACACTGAACAAGAATGAGAGAGACACGCGTAAACAACGCTGACGTAAAGCATACGCTAACCAATCACAAGCCTTGGCAGCTCCGAGCCTCGAATAGTCACTGCGATCTCAGGGCGCGAGAAACTTCTAGCCAATCAAATCATTTCTATTAAAGCGCGCGCAACTTCTTATGCCGAAACAACCAATGGCAGCTGTTACTTTTACCGCCGTTGTCAGGTGAAGCCAGGATTCAAACTGAGAAAATTTATAGTATTCAAATTCTATCAGATTTGAAAGTTATCTAAAAAAACTGTTTAATTAAGGCATTTAAATGAAGAAATTTATGACCTCTACATTTCAATATTACCTTCAAATTATGAATCTTAGATAAATTTGGATAGTTATACACAGTTGAATTTTTTTGCTTGAACTAGTATGCTCATGGCCGCATATGTGCATGGTTGAACTAGTTCAACCATGATACTGCTAACGCGCTTAGCAAATATTTTAAAATGTCTACTTTAAGTGCTATTATTTTGTAACGTACTGCTGAATAATAGTTAATAATGTTACTACATGTTTATATATAATAATAAATAAGAATGGGTAAGCCAAGACCGTCAATGGCATGGTTGAACCATATACTGGTAGTTCAACCATGCGTCAATGGGAGATCTCTATGTAAATTAATTTTGAACTTTTATTATGTATGGAATGTTATTGTAATAAATAGAATTTAATGACGCCCATAAACTTATCACGTAATTGGCCCACTCGAAAACACATAGTTAGGAACACTAAATATAAATAATAATCATAGTAAACCAATAAAAATTCATTTTCAACGTGTAAGTCCGATTTTAAATTTCTATCGCAATCATGTGATGCATGGTTTGTAAGGTACATATACGTAACACTAAAGCTTTATTATAACTGATGCTATCTTAAGTTATAGGTAAGTCAACATTGTTGTACAATGACTTTGACATTAACGATTGAAGTTATTACATATACGTAACACTAAAGCTTTATTATAACTGATGCTATCTTAAGTTATATGTAGGTCAACATTGTTGTACAATGACTTTGACATTAACGATTGAAGTTACATTATCCAGACCAGATGTTATATATCCAAAATAATCAACACTTGAAATTCGCAGTCCCTTTTGCATATCAAAATATCAGCAATTATATATAAGGAATGCATGTTATTTTATCTAGAATTGTAACAATATAAGTTTATACATCATCCTTTGTAATAGTGAGAACTGCATCAGGAGGACCGAATCGACACTTCTCCGTCGGTATCAAAAGGGGGGACATATGTGCTCCGAGAAGGAAAGTCTGGAATGCGAACGTTGCAGCTTTGATGTTGGAATTACGATAGCTCAATTCATCTCTTGTCTTTTTTAAATTATTACACACTATGATATAGACATGTAGGAAATTGGACTTCAATAAGCACAAATTTAAGTAGCGAATTACCATTGATGTCATTATTATGTGTTGTGGCAAGCTCGTGAGAGAAATGCCTACTCAGCGTCACCATATTTACAAACGCATCATCATATCGTACGGTGACTCGTCAGTCTTATATCAGGAAGAATTTTGTTCTCACATAGATAAATTTCATATGGAAATGGTTTATTACAAATAATATTCTTAAGCTTCAGCATTTACCATTCTTTATGTTGTAATAGAGCACAGTATTTCTAGAAATATCAATGATGTTAATATTATGCATATTAATTATAATGTAACTAAAATTTAGTTGAGGTAGCTTGTATTCAATTTGGCGCTAAAAAAAACATTCACAAAATGAAAACGTCTTGTACATGAAAATAAGAACAAGAGCCGATTACAACCTGGTTAATGTCTGATTATGTATATACTCGCATAGCATCATCAACAACATAGAAATAGGTGAAAAACACGTTTTTTTTTGCGGACAGCCAAAGGAAATGATGATTTTAAAGTTAAAAATTAACGTGATCACACGAACGCGATGAATGCTGTTCGGACGTGTTTTGTGCGTGTCTGATGTTGCCTTGAACGCGATTTGATGGGAGAATGTCAATACATATGTTGCGAGAGAAATGGCAATTCGATACTGTTTGTCAAAACTATTATCAGAAAGATTATAACTATTATTAAAAATATTACTACCTACATTATATTAAGATTATAAGAAAAACGTAATTATGCGCGCATATGTGTACATTTGGCCTATAAAAAATAGATAGGTTTATTAATAAAATTACGTATTCTCATCGTTATTCATTTAATGGCGTCATACACTGTCCGTATACGGTTAGACATTGTTCGCCGACAACAAATTCACGTGAATTCTTAGTACATATATATAAGGCTTGTACCAATATACCAATAACCTTATTAAATTAATTCAAACTTTGCGACCATGTTACCACCTTAATAACATAGTCGTAATGAGGTGCGTTTCATCTGAGCGCTAAATTTCTATGTCAGTACAAGATTACTTATAAAGAAAACAACTTAATTCATTTATATTATTAATAATGATATATCTAGAAATAATCCCAGAAGCGTTTTTGAATTAACTAAATGGCAATAAAATTTTTAAAATTTGTCCTGAAAACTTATCTTGACCTAAATATAACTAAATTAAAATACTACGATAATTCTTAGTGTAGTGTAACTGGCGTTTCATGCCAATGCAATGAGCTAACGTGATGTTTCAGGAAGAAGTGATTCAGCATGACGGGCATCGGGATAACGAGATTAGTTATCACGGTATACATGGAATGTTTGGATTAAAAATTGTAGGTACTTTCGAAGACAGGAAATCAAGCGGCTCCATTTTGAGCTTGTTTATTCGGGATCGCAAAGAATCATCAATCCTGTGCAAAGCATTTCTGAAACATTTTGACATATTTACGACAATATCGAACAACGTTTGGACAAATGTTCGTAAGATTTTCCAATAAAGACGAGTCTATGAAAAAATTGTGAAAACTGTTGATAAATATTAAATTTCGGGGAATTATGTACGAAATATCATCGAATAACGGGTTTCAGCAAAACGTGATTCAAAACGAATTACGCGATTGCGGTCGATTTTTTTTTTGGAATGTCGCATATCCTACAGGGGGGGGGGGGTAACGGCTGGTATACGTGTGATTTAGAATGAACACCCAACTTGATATTTAAACCAGATTAGTATCGTAGAAACGTACTGTGCTGTTAGGTTCCGTACGGTTCCCCTTCATTTTTGCGGTTCCGTGATTATTGCTAAGAGTGGACAGATACTATCAGGCAGACCATGGTTAAATTGCTCTCAATTATGACACAAAATCAACGTGTTTCACGACAGTATTTACATTTTTGGGCCCACGGTGACGTCAAAGTCGGAGCAACAAATGACATCCACAAAGAGCAGCTGCGCGTGGGTCAACCTTGTATTATTTCAACCATGAGGCAGACTATGATAGCTATAAGCTATATAGTATTATTTATTATTAAAAACTAAGTTTTTAATGGTATATCATACCTACAATTTCCATAACACTTGATTGGATACAATTTGCGAAGATAAGTGCTGCACACTGTAAGATGTTCAGTGACGTACTGAAAAGTGATGAACGTTTTGCACATGGTTGAACTATATAAGGTTGGCCCACGAGAAGTTCCGTCTTTCAGTTCAGCTTTCTTGTTACGTCACGTAGATCGAGAAACGTAAACAAACCCGTCATTCCCATGCCTGATTGGTCGACTGTTGATCGCATTTCGGCGATTGGTTATGCCCATGACGTCGCTGAGATCAGTGACGTCACAGGCGAACAACGAGCTACATCCGCAAAAATGGGCTTCTGATGGGTCAACCTTATAGGTTTTGCAAACGTGAAATCGTGGATATTATGCTGTGACAGCATCATTTCATTTGTTTGGTTGGTCCGCGCTTACTGTATAGTATACGATGATTTAGCAGTGCCAAGGAAAATGTGCTTCATATTCCTGAAAACTATATTCGTCTGAATGGATTGTTTTACCTGAGAAACCTTCACAGAACTTGTTTTGGGGGGATCGGCAGGCTTTCCGGAGGTTTGTCCAGAATACCATAGAATTCACCAGTAAAGCGATTTAGAGCGTAGCAGAAATATAAAACAACTTGACGTTCCATGCAAAAAAAAGTACGATATCAGGTATGAATAAAAACCTATAGGAGTGCCGTGCATAATCTCGCATAATCCATAAGTAACGTGCAGAATCTCGCAATAATTATTGTACAAATAAATTAAGCTTGGTGGAGCCAAAAAAAACTCGGTGGATGAACAGTACAGTTTTAGCTAAGCTGAACACAAGGGTGGAAGCATACCAGCGTTATTTACAGACTCGTAGCGATGCTGACTATAACCTATACGCAAGAGCTCGAAATCAAGCTAAAGAAAGCTGTCGCACCGCTGTAAAAACCCTCGAAAACGTATTGCTAAAAATGCAAAAAAGAACCCGAAAGCCTTCTTTTTATACGCTAGCTCGAAGTGCAAGATGAAGGACGGTATTTCTGATTTGAAAGTAGATCAGGGAAAGATATCCTCTGATGAGGGCAAAGCCAACGTACTTAATCATTTTTTCAGTAGCGTATTCACTGAAGAGGACTTGAACAGTATTCCAACTATTGAGGAGCGCCCAGTCGGCTCTAAATTAACAAGCTTTGAAATACGTACAAGAAGAAGAGGTTCTCAAGCGCCTTATCGCTGTAAATCCAAACAAGTCATGTGGACCAGACGGCTTCCACCCCAGATTACTCAAAGAGTTAGCAACTGTCCTAGCCAGCCCTCTGACGTCACTTTTTCGAAAAACTTTGAACGAAGGAATTCATGGCTTATACAAGGTCCCAGAAGGATTACTAGAATTTGAAACAAGAACCAACACCAGGGGCCACGGCTATAAACTAAAAAAACAGCGTTGGAACACATCCATGCGACAACATTTCTTCTCGCTTCGAGTCACCGACATGTGGAACAGCCTCCCTGATATTATCGTTGAAGCTCCGAGTATGAACATCTTCAAAAACAGACTAGACACTAGACGAAGCT